GGAGGCAGTATATAGTTCTACTTTTTTCTATCAAGCCATTTTATGTCTTTTGATTAGGGAGTTTAATCCATTTACATTTACCATAATTATTGGTACAGAAGAACTTACTAATGCCATTTTACTATTTTCTATATGATACGTGGTTATTTTGACCTTCTTTTCTTCTCTTGTTGGCTTCCTTTGGGTTTCATTTATTTTTTTGTTTAGTGACATACTTTTATTCCTTTTTCATTTTCTTTTGTGCATATTCTATAGGCATTTTCTTTGTGTTTACCATAAGGATTACATAAAACATCTTCTAGTTATACCAATCTATTTTAAACTATAACAACTTTAACTACATACAAAAAAATCTACTCCTTTACATTCACCCTCTATGTTATTGATGTCACAAATTACATATTTTTATATTTTGCATCTATTATCATAGTTTTACAGTAATTGTTATTATTATTTAAATTATATGCCAGAAATCAAAGTGATTTATCCACCACCTTTACAATATTACAATATTCTATACTTGTCTATAAATTTAACTTTACTAGAGAGCTTTTAAGTTTTTGTATGCTTTGGTGTTGTTGTCTAGTGTGTTTGTTTCAACTGAAGGAACTCTCAGCAATTTATGTAAGACATGTCTAGTGTTGACGAATTCCTTCAGTTTTTGTTTATATAGGGAGGGCTTATTTCTCCTTCATTTTTGAAGTGGGTTATGCCAAATATAGTATTCTAAGTTGGTGGGGTTTTTTTCTTTCAGCACTTTGAGTATATTATCCCACTCCCTTCTAGTCTGCCATGCTTCTGCTGAAAAACCTGCTGACAATCTCATGGGGATTTTCTTGCATGTGATAAGAATTTTTCTTCTTGATGCTTTCAAGATTTTCTTTTTGTCTTTGATTTTCGACAGTTTGATTATAATGTGTCTCTTTATGAGCTTCTTTGGGTTCATATTATTGGACTTGTTTAAGCTTCTTGAATTTGAATTTCCATTTCTTTCCTCCAACTGGGGAAAATTTTGACCATTATTTCTTCAAGTAAGCTCCCTGCTCCATTCTCTCTGCTCCATTCACTCTCTCTCTCTCTCTCTCCCTCTCCCTACCCCTTCTTAAATTCCCATAATGTATACATCAGTCCACTTGAATGTGTTCATAAGGCTCTTAGGCCCTCTTCTTTTTGTTCCTCTGACTCAGTAATTTCAAGTGACCAATTTTCCAGTTCACTGATTCTTCCTTTTGCTTGGCCAAGTCTGTTGTTGACGACTCTCTAATGAATTTTTCAAATAAATTACCGTATTCTTCAGATCTAGAATTGTTTCTTTTTAATAATTTCAAACTCTGTTGATATTCTCATTTTGTTCATGCATCATTTCCCACATTTTGTTTAGTTTTCTATTTGTATTCTCTAATATATTGAGTTTCTTTAAGATGATTATTTTGAACTCTTTGTCAGGTAATACACAGATTTCTGTTTCTTTAACCCTTTTCCCATTTAGAATAAAAAAGTACAGCTTGCTTCCAGTGCTCGTTTAATTTTACATAAATACACTTTTTGAGGCTGAAGAAAATCTGACTGGTTTTCAATGTGAAAATAAAACATGAAAACTGTTCCTGGAGTTATTTCTGAACAGAACTAACATCAGAATAGTCTATTTCGGAAAAAATAGATTCACCAAATGAATCCTCAGCCAAAAGCTGTACAAGAATGATGTTACCTTCACACGTAGGAATGCTGTGTTTTCTAGGATATGACATTTTCAGTGACGGAGAATTACTATATTTTGTAAATGGAAATACCACTACTAAAAACAGAATTCTGTAAATACAATGATGTCTTTTATTTCCAAAGTCAATATACTAGAGTGATACGACAATAATAATAAAAGTGAGATATTTTGAGGTAAAGTTATCTTGGCATAAATGTCACAGCTGCAAGTGCTACCAGTGAGTATTGTTGGGACAAGTAGGAAAAGGGTTAATATCAGTTACTGGATTTTTTTTTTTTTTTTTTGCTCTCTCTGATTGGGCCATGTTTCCCTGTCTCTTTGTATGCTTTCTTTTTGTTGACTTTAATATGAAAAAGTAGTCACATCCTTATGGACTGACTTTGTACAGGGGACATTTTTCATAAATCAGTTCAGGTAGAGATTCTAAGAGCCTCTCAAACTTTTTATGGGAATTTATCTTCTCTGGGCTTGTGCATGTAATTCCTAACTAGTGAAGTTTTCCAGTTTCTTTTTCAGGAACTTGTAGTATCTTGCTGCCCCTAGTATCTGTCTGAAATACTGCAGGTTCTCTGATGCTACAAGCCACTGAAATATATTTTGCTCTCAGTGGCACCCAGGTATGCAGAGTATGCCAGATCTCTATCACATGATACAGAAATTAGTCCCTTGAGCAGCCACTATAAATCTAGAACATTGCATATATCTTCCACTCTTTTCTTTCCCTCAAAAAGGTGAAGCCATGAGTTGCACTTTTCCTCCTAATTGTGAGCTGTGCCAGCTCAGAAAAAGGACTGATGTTTCTGAAATGCCACACTTTTCTTACCCATTTCAGTGTGACCATTCTTGGCTTTGAGCTTGTCTGGGGTACTGTGACTTCCTAAACGGTTTCTGAAGTTATCATAATGGCTTTTTGAACCATATATTGTTGTAAAGTGAGTGTATCTGTAGAGAACAAAGTCTAGGGCTTCCTATTCTGTTACCTTGCTGATGTCACTCTCAATTAATTCTTTTTCATACTTTTTTTTCTGTCTTTTTACTCTCAAATTGTCTATGCTGTTATATTTGAAGTGAATGTATTGCAAATAACATATAGCTGGTCATGTTTTTAACCCACTCTATCAATCTTCATATTTGCATGGAAGTATTTAGACCATTTATATTTAATATAATTATTGATATGTTAGGGCTTCAGTAAACCATATAATTTTTTCTGCTTTTTTTCCTGTTTCCTCTTTTTCTGCCTTCCTGTTACTTGAAATATTATAGTGCTTCCATTTTGATGTGTCAGTAGTGTTTTTAAGTACACCTCTGCATAATTTTTAAAGTTTTTTTAGGTATTACATTGTATCACAACTTACCACATTCTACCAGTGTCATCTTATTACCAGTTCAAGATATATAAAAGCCTTAACTTTCTTTACATCTTTTTATCCTCTCCCATTTATAATTGTGTTAAATATCTCCTCTGTACACATTTAGAACCATACCAGTCAATGTGATTATAGTAACATCAGACACTGTTACTATAATCTTTGCTTCAACCATAAAATATACATTTAAAAATTCAAGAGATGGAAAGCCTATTGTATTTATCCATACTTTTGTTATTGTATTATTTCTTCCTTCTTGATGAACCAAGGCTCATTTCCTTTCTGTGTAGGGAACTTCCTGTAGTTACTTTTTTAAAGGTAGATTTGGTGTTGAAAAATTCTTAGTTTATTGCATCTGGAAATGATGGATTTTGATCTTTATTTTGCCTTAATTCTTGAAGGATATTTTCACTGGGTATAGGATTCAGGATTGAGATTTCTTTTCTTTCAGTACTTGAAAAATACTCACTTTTCCTTTTGGCAGGCAGATTTTTCTGATGAAAAATCTGCTGTCGTTCAAACTGGTTTGGCCCTATAGGTTAGATGTCATTTCTCTATTGTGACTTTCCAGATTTTTTTCTTTTAGTATTTACTGCTCAGAAATTTGATGATAATTTATCTTGGTATAGATTTATTGGGGTTTGCTCAGCTTCTGGAATCTGAAGGTTCATGTTGTTTTGCTAAATTTGGTAAGTTTTCAGCCATTATTTCCTTAATACTTTTCAGTCCCACCCTTTCTTCTCTCCTTCCTCATTTATTTCTGTTGACACAGGGAAGGGGATAGGGAATGGTAGCTACTCATTACTGCTGGGCAGTGGTGAGAATTCTAGCTCCCCACTGACACCACAAGAGAGGGGTTTCACCCCATGATTCAAAGCCCCAGCTCCCTACTCTGCTTTATCTGACACTCTGGGGAAGCTGGGGTACCTCATTATACCTTGACAAGGGTGAAAGTCTAAGCTCTCCACTTGGCCTTTACTGGAGTGAGTTGGGGAGGGCCACAGTTGTGTGTGTGGGAGGAAGGTGTGTGTGTGTGTGTGTGTGTGTGTGTGTGTGTGTGTTGTTAAACCTAAGTAGAGAGATTATTTTCTAAATGTTTTCTGTCTTGATATACTGCTGCTTTCTTCATTTCATAGCTAAAGAGAGCTAGTTTTTGTTGGGATTTTTCATCTGTGTCCATTCACATTTCTAGGTTACTAGCTTCTTTAGCTCTAATTCTGGGATATATGAGGCAGAAAGAAAACTTAGGGAACTGACTTCCATGTCATTCTTTAAGACTTAGGGGTCCTACCTGGTCTGACGCTTCTTCACATTTCCTAGTCATCTTATGTTTATCTTATATATAATATCCAGAGTTTTTAGTCATTTAGTGGGAAGAATAGGAAAAAGTATATTTATCTTCCCATTAGCAGAACGCTTATTACCTTTTAAATCTCATATTTATCATTAGCTATGTCTCTATTTTTGTTTCTAATATTAAAACATCAAGTGGGTTGTCATACAAAGAAGTGTTATTTCTGGTGCTGTAAGTTTTGAGAAATATTTAAAATAACCACCTCATACAGATATAGAGCAGCGATTCCTGAATTTGGCAGAAATAGGTAAGTGTTTGTAAGGGCCTTTGTAAAGCTAATATTCTGTGATTTCCAGTGAAGACTGATATCTCATGACTTCCCCACTTTGACTTTCTCCTGGTGATATAATCTATGCTTTCTTTTTTGTTATTATGTTTCCAATGGTTTGATTATATCCTCTGTCAAGATGAGAATCTTTGGGTAGAAGCAATTTCTTATATCTTTACTTTTACTTAAACTATTATTCTGCATAGAACACAATTATGGAAAAGTATCAAGACTCAGTAAACATCTTTGTGTTGATGAATTAATAACTCACAAAACACATCTACTTACCCAGTAATAATAATTTCTGGATACGTTTGTGCTCCAAGGTTCCAAGCTCCTCCACTGATTGGCCACTCCTAAATAGATTATCCAGAAAGTATATATATATATGTTCAAATGGCTTAGAAATTTAAAATGGAAATAGCTTAAAATAATGATAAAAAGTTCACTTAAACAAACTAACTGTAAAATAATCAAGAATGAAGTGTGTAGCTGTCTTTTAATTTTTTCATTGAACAAACACGTCTAAATGCACAATTCCATCTCCCTTAAAAATATAGATTTTAGTCAATCTTACCATTTATATAAACAAATCAAAGAAGTATTTTTAATTGTACAAATACAGTGTTGCTACATGTGTCATATAGTCTCATATAGTCTGTGTACCACCAAACTACTGTGGTGCCATTTAACATAGAAGCTATGTAAATAGTGTCTCTTGAAGTTGTCCATCCCAACAGCCCTGGGAAAATAACAGAAATCATAATAGATAATCTGTTACAATTATAAATAGTTGAATCTTGTAGTAAACTATAATAAAAAATTCTAGAATGTTATTTAACAAATGACTTTTAATAATTATGTTTCCTAAACCATTAATTAATTATTAACTAGGAAGACTTGAGTCTTTTTGTTTTCTTAAAATATAAGTTTTCATCTAAAATAAAGCTTGTATCTTATGACTCAAATATATATTAATATAAGTACATGCTTAGTATATAAATGCACATAATAGATAAGTATATCAGTATATAATTATATACCTTCTATATAAGAAATTATACCTCTGTAGGCTTAAAGCTAAGTAGCATTTAGAAAGTTTGAATTTAAGAAGTTACGTCTTTAATAGAGTTGGTTTTTAAATTAGAAATAATTTAGTTCAAGTCCTCCTATATGGAATGTAAGAAAATAAAGTAATGGGAAAAAGTATGATCATGTGATATGAATACAAGAAAAGTTATTTATAATTTCTACTTTTACCTTATTACTGTATCCTTGTTTTTTATGCTTGACTCCTATGGAATACAGTACTAGAATCAAATCCGGAGGACAATCTGCAAAGTATGCTGTGCATGTAACTGGTGATTCATGAATGTCCATGGGATATGGATTTTCAAAGATTGGAAAACTAACAGATAAAGACAATATATCAGTGTTATTTTACAAAGAAAAAATAGCAAATAATTTTGATAAAGTAAGCCCTAAAATGTCTCTAAACGTTTACTATAAATTTCACTTGTTTTTTAAGTACCATAAAACAAGAATTGTATGAACAAAAATGATCTTTTTGTAACAGTAATTTATAAAATGTAATGTTAATGCTAGTAAAATTTTACTCAAGCTCAAAATTTACTTCTCATAATTCTAACATTCCACAGTGGCATTGCTTTGCTAATATAGATACAATGAATTCTATTAATCTGAAACTATTATATAACAAGTTTACTTAGTTAATTCACTAAAAATAAACTAAGAACTTTACCTACATACAATGGTAAATATTTATTTCGTATCCTTACAAATATTAAAATATAAATAAATTTTGACTTTCTTTCAGTGGGGGTGCTATGGTTTGGACGTTTGTTTGTCCCCTCCAAATCTCATCTTGAAATTTAGTTCCCAGTGTTGGAGGTGGAGCCTAATGACAGGTGTTTGGCTTATGGGGCAGATCCCTCATGAATTGATTAATGTCCTGTCTAGGAGGTGAATGAGTTCTCCCTTTTCGTTCCTGTGAGAGCTGGTTGTTAAAAAGAGCCTGGAGTCTCCTCCTTCTTGCTTGTTTCTTCTTTCATCACGTAACCTCTGCACACACCAGCTCAGCTCCCCTTCACCTTTTGCCATGAGTGAAAACAGCTGAGGTTCTTACCACATACAGATGCCCAATCTTGTAAACAAAATAAACTTTTTTTTTTTTTTTTTTTTTTTTTTAAATTACTAGCTTCAGGTGTTCCTTTATAGCAACACAAAACAGACTAAGACAGAAAATTAGTACTGAGGAACGGGGTGTTGCTATAAAGATACCTGAAATTGTGGAAGCACTTTAGAAATGAGTGATGGGTAGAAGTTGGAAGAGTTTGGAGAGCTCAGAAGATAAAAAGATGAGGGAAAGTTTGGAACTTCTTAGAAATTGGTTAAGTAGTTGTGACAAAATACTGACAGAAATATGGGTAGAAAAGGCCATGCTAATGAGGTCTCAGACAGAAATTAGGAACTTATTGGGAACTGGAGCAAATATCCCCATTGTTGCACTGCGGCAAAGAACCTGGCTGCATTGTGGCACTGTAGCAAAGAATTTGGCTGCATTGTGGAAGGCTAACCTTAAGAGTGATGACCTTGAGTATCTGGCAGAAAAAAGTTCTAAGCAGCAAAGTGCTCAAGAAGTGGCATTGTTACTTTTAACAGCTTACACTAAATTATGTCCACAATGGAATCACCTAATGGAAGAATCTATAATTAAAAGAGAAGCAGAGCATTAACATTTGAACAATTTGCAGCCTGGCCATGTGGTAGTAAAGAAAAGAGTGTTTTCAGGAGGGGAATCTAAGCAACTACTTGCTAAAGAGATTAGCATGACCAGTAAGGGAGCAAGGTATTAATAGTCAAGACAATGGACAAAAGGTATTTCAGAAATCTTTGAGGCCACCCATCCCATCACAGTCCCAGGAGCCTAGGAGAACAGAATGGTTTTGGAGGACAGGACCAGGGCACCATTGCCCTGTGCCCCTTTGGGTCGCTGTTCCTTACATTCCTACAACTCCAGCTCCCACTATGGCTCAAATGGACCCAGTTGCTGCTGTGGTTGCTGCTCCAGAGGGCACAAGCCATAAGCCTTGTGAATCCACATGGTGTTAAGTCTGCAGGCACCCAGAACACAAGAGCCATGGAGGCTTGGCAGCTACCCCCTAGATACCAGAGGATATATCAAAAAGCCTGGGTGCCCATGCTGAAACCTGTCACATAGGCAGAGCCACCAGCAGTGTGCAACCTCAGTCTGGAAAAGCCTCAGGCATTCAACTCCAACATATGAAAGCAGCCACATGGACTGTGTGCAGCAAAAACATGGGGACAGGACTGCCAAGGCCTTGGGAGACCACTCCTTGCACCAGTGTTTCCAGGATGCAGGACATGGAGTCAAAGAAGATTATTTTGGAGCTTTAAGATTTAATGTCTACTCTGCTGTGTTTTAAAGCTGCATAAGACTTGTTACGCCTTCCTACTGGAATGGAAATGTTTACCCAACACCTATACAACCATTGTTACCTTGGAAGTAAAGAACTTGTTTCATATTTTATAATACTTCAAACTTTTGAATGGATGTTAAAATGAATTAAGACTTTGAGACCATTGGAAAGGAATGATTGTATCTTATATGTGAGGACATGAGTTTTGGGGATTCAGGAGAAGAATGCTATGATTGGGATGTTTTTCACCTTCACAGGGGCAGATTCCTCATGAATAGATTAATGCCTTCCCTCAGGGAGGAGTTCCCACTCTTAGTTCCTACGAGAGCTGGTTGTTTAAAAAAGCCTGAAACCTGTCCCCTCTCTCTCTTGCTTTCTTTCTCACCATGTGATTTCTGCACATTCTGACTTCCCTTCACTTTCTGCAATGAGTAGAAATAGCCTGAGACCCTCAACAGATGCAGACACTCAAACTTGGACTTTCTAGACATCAGAATTGTGAACCAAAATATCATTTTTCTTTATAAATTATCTAGCCTTGAGTATTCCTTCATAACAATATAAAAGGGACTAAGACAAAGACGTAATAGATAGGAAACTTTTAAATTTTTTGCAGGAATAATGAAAAGATGTGTGTCATATGTAGGTTTGTGTGTATGTGACTGTGTATATCCAAAAGATCATTTCCTATGTAAACTAGAGAACATAGTTGGAATGAAGACTTATGGATGTAATAACTTTCATATCCTCAAGCTTACTATAACCTTAAAAAGGAAATGAGTATGAAATCAAATTTAAAATCCCTGTAGCTATTTAGAACATCGTATGTACCAGGCACTACGCAAGGAGGAAATTAGTATTATTCTATGCCATATCTGTTCCAGGTGTCATCATATAACTTCTGAAACTATGTGTTTTTTTAGGGTAGGAGGTGCCTGTTAGAAAACAGTTTTTTCTCATATTATTAGGAACTTAATTAAAAAATTAGGAGTTTAGTCCAATCTCCAGAAAATATGGGGTGTGTGTGTGTGTGTGTGTGTGTGTGTGTGTGTGTATGTGTATGTGTGTGTGTTCTGGCAGCAGTTCTCTTTCTACCAATCTGAAATGTTGCACATAGTATCCCAAATAAGAATAGTTATATATGCAAAATCAGGTTAAAGGAACAATTCATGTCTCTTTAAGTGACAAGTAGGTTAAACTAGAGGTACCAGAGGTTAAACTAGATATATCAGAGATTCTCTGTTTCAGAGTACAAATTATTAACATTTCTAAGATTAAAGAGTTAGAAGATAAATGGATCCCCTTGAAGACAAGGCCTACAATTTAGAATTTGATAATAGCAAGAGGTAACAATAATAGGCTCCTGACAAAGTTAAATATTATGAAATTTTTTGAGAAAAATTATTTTAGTACATTGGCAAAGAGTAGGCAAAAAGATATTAAAAAGAGAAGTAGCTAAAAATTTACAAGAGGAATTTAGACATAAAAGTATAAACTGGTTGCTGTGAAAATAGAAATGAAGATATGAATCCAAGAAATCAAGAATAGAAATAATTTCTAAACCCTAATGCTTGCCTTTGGGTTGGGGATTAAATGGCGAGAAAAAGATAAAAAGAAAAAAAAAATGAAAAGGATTCCAAAGTTATAACTTGTTCAACATTCAATATAGCTGAGAGGTAACCATTTGGAGGGAAAAAGAACATACTCAGTTTTTGACATGTTAAATTCCATGTAACAGCCAATGAAGTGGGAATGCCACAGAGATTTTAATACATGCTAAAAAAGGTAAAATGTTAGAGAAAACTTGCAAACAAAATGTTAATTCACATACTTATATAGGGTAATGAAAACCACAAGAATGTATGTATACATAAAATGGTAACTTTTATGTTATGCATATTCTGTCACAATAAAATAAAATTTAAATGAAAGAATATATATATATACAGTGTATATATATATAATATATATACACACACACACACACACACATACACACACTGAAGAAAGTGGCCATGAAAGGTAAAGTATAATGGGCCTGCAAGGATGTTAGATACTTAGGCAAAGTATGAGTAACCAACAAATATGACATACAAAGAAGAGTTGAATACCAATGAGATTAGAAGAGTATATTTTAATAAGACTCATATTAGAACTTCTTAGAGGAATAAGCATAAATCCTTACAGCTACACAAAAAGTCTTATGTTGATAATTAGGGCAGCTAAGCAGAATTCCCAGTTATGATGATTTCATGGCCCAAATCCTGCATCCCTTTTAAAATCCTGAGAATAATATCTGCAAATTAGTATGAGGAAGAACCCTGGATCTTACATTTACAAACAACTTGAAGAGTAGAATTCGGATTGATTTATTCAACAAAAATTTATTGAGATCTGACTCCATGTGGAGACAGAGCCCCTCCTTCATGGAGTCTACAGCCTAGCGGGAAGACAATCTTTAAGCAACAGCAAATAGAAAATTGTATCTGTGTCAAAAGCTATGAAGAGAGAAATGTGGGGGTTATGAGAGCCCATATTAGGATATGTTACCAAATTATACAGATAATGAATTTTTTAAAAAAATAGGGAAGTGATATCTGACTTGAGAATCTTACAGATAAGATGTTGGTAAAGAGAAAAATTGAAGAGAAAGTTATTCCAGACCAAGGAGAGACAACTTACAAAATTGTATTACAAATATATGAGGCTAAAAAATCAGTGGAAGAACATAAAATGATGGAAATTAGTTTCATGCTATTACCATTATAATAAAAATGGACAGAAGATTTTTACTGACAATGTAAAGGAGTGGAGAGCACCACTATAATAGCAGTATTCTACACTTTTTTCAATTGCCTGTAACATAATGAAAAAGGAAAAAAGTAAAAGAAGGCCCCAGTCTTCTCTGCCCCTGAGATTCTGGTGTTCTGTGTTGTCTGCTGCAGTAGCGCAATAATACTTTTATCATGTGTCATTTTCCATTACTCAGCTATCACATTGCACAAGTTTTCATAATGATTGATTTTCTTTAAGGAAACAACAAAAATGTGATCAATTTTATGTGTCCTGAGTCTTCAATGTTTCTGTCCAAACATCAGGTGCTGCCTTTAAGTTGTCTTACAGTTTTCTCAGTGTTTCCCAAATTCTCCTGGTTTCATTTTCACCATTGAACCAAAGTGCATTTCTGTAATTCTAGCAAACCAATATTCACACAAAGAATATTTCCGATCTAAAGAATACAAATGCCAATTATCTAAAATAAATAGAGTTTAAAAGTGTTAATCTGTACATGGATAACTTACTTGCTTTGTGTCAGATCAACTACAATGAGATCTTTCTCCAGAAGTACTACGACAGCATAGGGTTCTTGAAATTCTACAAGTTAAAAAAAAAAAAAGAAAAGTTTCCATATTGTATATATTATAAAATCAGCAAAACTGCACTTCCTTTATCCCTATACAAATATTATTTAAATGATGTGAGAAGACCAAACTATAAACCAAAGTAAGAAGTAACAAAGAGCACTTAAAAAATGTGCTTCTCAAATTTAATATTAAGATCACTAGAAAGAACAACAAAAAATTAAAAGTAGCATAGTATAGAGTTAAATATATCTCAATAATCATGGAGTGATGATAATATTGGATTATGTGAAGACAGTGAATCTGTCACCTGATCTCACAAACATTTATCTTTTTCTTCCATAACCTTTGTATTTTAGATCTGATTTTATGCCTACAAGGAGATGTACTGGGGAATAGTATCTCTGCTTCTCTGAGATATGACATATATTCACGTCTGTATAAGAACAACACTGCTTAGAATAAAAAGTTTACTTTAAATTCAATGTAATTAGAAATATATTTATAGGTTGTGTAAACACATCAGATCAATCTGGTTCAACTTTAAGATAACAAAGCTCTTCAGTTGCCATGGACACCCAGATTGAAGGCCACAAACACGCCAAGATAAACCAAGCATGCAACCACAGGTAGAAGCTAAGTGTCCAGAACAAGGAACATGCACTAAAATTAAGAAGCATACATTGCATGGCGGGCTGCAGGATCCAATCAGACAGCCCTGGTATCACACCAGGGAAGGATCCAATCAGAGCATACCTCCTGACATCATCCTATGGCAAGATCCAATTAGGATCATGCCTCATTACCCTCAGACTATAAAACCTGCCCCAATCCTCAGCTTGGGGAGACAGATTTGAGATCTGTCTCCTTGCCAGTTCACTCACAATAAACCTTTCTTGCTGCAAAAACTTGGTTCTTCAGTGTTTGGCTTTCCATTGTGCATGGGCAAATGGACCCAGTTTAGTTCAACAACAAAGTTGGTGACCCAGATCAGACTTCTCTAAATCCTTTCAGGAGATTTTTGCCTGTGGCTCACTAGCTCCATATTAGGGATGGGATCCACCTGAGGGTCTGAGCAGCTGTCCAGGTGTTTTACTCAGTGATTTGCTCTTGGTTCCTGTCTCTCCAGCATGGCCCTGCTGACTTTTGGTGCTTTTACTTTCATTTTTGCAGCAAAGAGAAGTTTTGAATTTTGGAACACATTTTTTCATTATTTTTATTTTTATTTTGTGGTGAATTAATCTCTGTACAAGTGACCAACTCTCAGCTCCTTTCTTATCAACTTCCACTAGGGGGCCTTGTCAACCTCCACAAGGGGGCTTTGTTAGGGGATTTCAACTTTAATTGAAAGGAGAATAAGGGGTATGTTCACGTGGTACTCTTGATTATAAATTTGACTAGGAACTTGACTGGGAACTTGGAACTTGGATGTGTATATGTGTATGTGTTAAGTTTCGGGTTTGTCTAGTCACTTGTTTAATGTTGTTAAGACCACTCAGCAAACCCTGAAGAAGCTGCCAGTGGCAGCCAAGGAGGCCTGACTCAGGGTTGCTGTCTACTACAATCAACTAGACTGAGCAAATTATTTGCTTGATTATGGGCTGGAGATCAGCCTTCCCCATCCAGAATGGATTAAAGATGTCTGAAGCTTATAGGGACAAGTTTGAGCCTTGTCTGTTTGCTCCCATTGAGCGGATCAAACTCAGAGTCCAAAATGCTGTGGTTTGTCTTGTTTGATTGGCTGTTTCTGTTTCTGTTTGTATTCTGATATAAGCAGTAATATTTGGCTTAAACAGTGGTTAACATTTTGATAGTACAGAAACAGCCTAATTAGAAAATTATTTAATTGAGGGACTACATTGCTCCCTCCAGCCCTTTTAGGTACTCCTAGGTGACTAGGGGATACCCAACCCATTGGTGATTCACTGGGAAGGAATCTCCATAAGTGCCACATTACAGACCCAAAAAATATATATCTCTGTCTAGTGCAGGGCCTTGCTCTAACCATCTGAGATAAACCTCCAAGCAAAATGAGGAATGTAATTGTAGCAGGACTTCAGCAGAACAAGGCATAAAGGTACAACAGTGGCCAAAGAAAATGCTTCTTCCTTTCTTGTGGTCTTTAAAGCCTTCGGGCAATACAGTAACATTGACCCGAACACCCAGGTAACCTAAGAGTTTTATCAGTCAGAGTGTCCCTGGTATAAGAGGAAAACTACAAAAAGTAGAAAAGGTGTTGGGAATATCAATATCTCAAGTAGTCGAGATTGCCTTTAAGGCATTTAATTCATCTTGTTCAAGTCCAGGAAGGGCAAAAGCAATGCAACATGAGACAACAAGCTATGCTGCTTGCTGTGGCTCTTGCCCACAACCAGTTGAGGCACAAGATGGAGCATGCTAGGAAAAACAAATGGCCATGGGTAAGACCCCTAGGGACCCCACTGCTGGCCAAAATGGCCATACAGTCTTGAGGCCATGATGTGCATATTGTAAACAAGAGGACCATTGGAAATGGGAACGCCCTAACCATCCTGGGCAGGTGGAGGAAGAAGCTGCCCATCAATCAGCCCACCAGATACCACAGTTTCTGATAGGATTAAAAATAATGGGACTGGGGATCCTCTATGATCTAGGAACGTTGGGTAATAACTAATGTAGAAAAGAGACTTATGAGCTTTCTAATTTACTCTAGCGCTAAACTTCTTCCACTAGTTCCTCTCTTCCTGCCGGTCCACCTGACTACTTTACTACTCTGGTTTCTCTGAAATTCAGTAAGGGGTTTCAGCTACATGGAACAGAAAAATTTAAACTAAAAATGTTAGTTTGACAGTGATGAAGTTTGAATCTAACTGCCCCTTTCAACTAGTGAGTTATGCCTGACATATGGCTAAAGTTTTAAAAATTAAAGCTACATGATCATTATTTGTATCTGGCTGCATGTAAAAGTCTGGCTGTATTTGTCTATGATACCAAATTGACTTACAAATAGATGAGTACTCATAAATCAAGCAAATAAGACCAGGCACTTTTCAAGTTCATGTGACTTAGAAATTTTTTGGCACATGGGAAGAGTTCAAGATTGTCGAATTGATGGGAATGCCTGTGTCCTCTGAATTATTGGACTTTAAGGTCATTACTTTTATAATGTTTGCCTGACATGCAGTTATATAAAATAATTAATAGATAAATAATTTGGAATGATGACTAGCTTTGTCTATTACCTGTTTTCATAAGTAATCTCAGCACACTGCTAAAAACAAAGAAATAAAGGTAAATGGGATAAATAGCTAAAAATAAATTTTTATGTAATTTGAAATCCTAAATTAAATAATAGATACTCATTAAATGTACAAGTCATTTTCAAATGTGATAAAAACTGAAACAAACTGCTGAACATAAATAGAGTTGTCCTTGGTTTCTTAAATTTAATAGAAAGACTAGAAAGACTAATAGAAAGATTAAATATGCATAAAAATATGTTATAGGGAAATATCTTTTTCTGACAATTATAAAATGGCTCTTGGCCAAGCATGGTGGCTCATGCCTATAATCTCAGCACTTTGGGAGGCTAAGGTGGGAGGATTGCTTGAGGCCAGAAGTTTGAGACCACCCTGGGTAACAAGGCAAGACTACATCTCTACAAAAAATAAAATAATTAGCCAGGTATGGTGACACACACTTAGAGTTTCAGCTACCTGGGAGGCTGAGGTGAGAGGATTGCCTGAGCCCAACAGTTTGAGGCTGCAGTGAGCCATGATCATGACACTGCACTTGAGCCTGGGCAAAAGAGCAAGACCCTGTCTCTAAAACAAACATAAAAAATTGAAAAATATTAAAAATAAAATGGTTCTTATCTATTAAATAATGATATGTAACAGGCAATTCAAGATTTTGTACTTCCTATGTTTTTAATAAAATTTAAGGTTACTAGAAGCTAAAAATTCCAGTTGATATATAATTCTGTATATAAAATATACCAAAGTCAGGTGTGTTTAATAAGAGAAAAAAATTATAAGTGGAAAAAAATATCTTTTATTGAGAAAAATATTTTTTTCTAAGTCAAAGGTTATTTAAAGGGAGTGTCAAAATGTGGATTTAGGAAGGAAATAGAAACAAGATAGAAAGGAACTGTAAATAAGAGAGAGAGAAAGAGATGTAAGAAAAGTTATAGATGTAAAGATAAGAGAATAATTTTGTATGAGAAAGTCTTGCATGGTAAATCTTTTTCCTAGAGTGACATGATTGCTTACTTAAGAAGAAAGAGGACGTATAGAGTGAGGCAGAGTGTCTCAGTAATGCATAGATGGTCTGAGTAAATCATGATAAGGTTCATGAATGGGAACTTGTGAAGGAAATTCTGGGTGTGATTAAGCTAGCTATAATTAAAAGAAATTATTTGTGACAGTCTTTCCAAAGAATAAACTTTGATGTTAAAATACACTGATACAAAGTTTAAAAATTTGGTCCCCTATGTTAAAACAACAAAGGCTTCTTTTCTTTTCTTTTTCTTTTTCTTTTTT